GGGAGAGAGATCATCACACAGATGCTATGAAAGAAAGGTACAGCTGGCTCTGAGAGCCTTAGAATAGGAGTATGTACAGTAAGTCCTCAGTTAATGTCATTGTTAAGTTCTGCAATTTTAAGCTAAATGACGTGTAACGAAACCCAGTTTTATCATAGACTAATTTCTATAAACGAGTTTATATCATCAACGTTATATGGAAACGGTGGTGAGGTTATTCGAGGACCTGCTGTACTTGAGGAATTCCGTCAGGAGAGTTGAAAGCTGATGAGTCAGTGTGGCAGAACTAAGCAGACTGCTTATGCAAAGGCCCCAGGGGTAGCTAGAGCATGGGGGAGTGCATTCTGAAGGAACCAAGGGGAAGGCAAGTTGAACTGGCGTTGGAACAAGCTTTGGGTGGGGTAGTTGCAAGCTGAGGCTGGAGTGATCATTTCTAATGCAAAAAGATAAAACATAATTGAAGGGTTGGGTTACAGGCTTGACAGTAACCATGCTTTTAAGAGAAAGAAGAATCCCTTATCCTTGTTCCTATTTTTTCTTCCTCTTAATTTTTCCCCTTTGAATTCAGAGAGAACATCAATATCTTGGGAGCTATAGTGAACCTTCATGGTATAATGGAAGAGGCAACTTGCGGCTTTGGAGTCTAACAGATGGTACTAACTGCCATCTTGGACAAGTTCACATCTTTACTCTTGTAGCTTCTGTTTACATCTGGTAAATTTTACTGATAGCCATATGGGATAGGTATCCTGATGATTAAATGAGGTTATACAAATAAAGTATTTTCTATTGTGCCTGACATATAAGTGCTCCTAACTTTTCTAGAGTAATATACAAATTGAAATGGAACTGGAAAGGCACCTATGATGTTGTGATTTATAAGAAGTATATACCCGGGGTGCCAAAATGTATACACATGACTTGTATTCATCTTTTGTTATCCGTACATATTATTACAATTTTAATAGCTTTTTCTTTTCTTAAAATGTGTATACATTTTTGGGGCATATTTGGTCATTATCCTAGTTCCTGGCCCAGAGCTTCTAAAACCCTTGGAATTTCCTAAGTGTTGAGAGCCATAAAGGTGTCTTTTGTTATGTTAATGAGTGACTAGGAAAGTCCTAAGGATGGGGGCTGGTTGCTAGGGAACAAACCTTGTGGTTGGAGTGTTGGAACTTTCAGTCCTGTCCCCACCTGGATCCCCACCCCCACCTTCTGCCTCCTCTGGGGAGGAGAGAGGGTCTAGATTGAGTTCAATTGTTAGTGGCCTAGGAGTGAGTGAGTTAATCGTGCCTAGGTAGTGAAGCCTCCATAAAAACCCAAAAGAGTCCCTGCCTATTGGAGGAAGGGAACTCTCACCCTAGCTAATCTCAGATGAGAGGAAGGTTGATTCTAGGATTCAGACTATGAGCAATCTTTAGCCTAGGATTCACAGACCTATGAGAAGAGTAATCAAAGCCCAGGGGCTAAGAAACTAGGGAGGAGACTTAACATTTCTATAGGAAAGAAAACTTAAAAGTCTTTGGGGGAGGGGACACTCGGTTGGTCGGTAACAGAATGATCCATATGGTTATGGATCATAGTTTCTGAATATAATTGATTGTGAGATGTGTTACAAGTAATAGTAAGTAGTTGTTAAATAATTAGTTAAAGACAATAGCAAATGAGGTTATCTAAAAATTAGTCAGGGTTATCCCCCGATAATTATTTTCCACTCAAATTTCAATGTGTTTTCTTAGAAGGGATTTTTAAAAACCTAGAAGTCCAGATAATGTGCAGATTGTCCACACATTACTATTTTTTGTTATTTTGTGTGCTGCTTCATTTTTTGGGTTTGGGCAGTTTCTCTGTGTGTTCATGGAAGTGTGTCAAACCCACAATAATACCCTGTGTGTGTCATTTCTTACGTTGTGATAGAAAAACTTACCATGTAGGATAGGATATCTTTTCTTCCAGACAACAACAATGCATAAAAACTTTACCTTTAAGCATATTGGATCTGTCATAGAAATAGAAACTCCAACTTAAAATTAAAAAATGTTGGGCTGGCTGAGTGGCTCAGCTCGTTGGTTAAGAGTTGGCTTGGGAGCATGAGTTCTGAGCAGCAGGGGCCTGGTTCGGATCCCACATGGACCAGTGACACTGCCCTCTACAGCTAAGATGGTGAACAACAGCTCCACCTGGAGCTGAGCTCCGTGAGCTACCGTGAGTGACTGGCAGCCAGCGTGAGCCACCATGAGCGGCCGTCCAATGGCCGGCGACCGATCTGCCTCACCCAGGAAGAGCGCAATGATCACAATACCAACATGGTCCAGTGAAGCAACGTCCTCCACAACTAGACTGAAGAACAAAAGGACAGCTACTTGATTGTTCCCCTTCCTCGATTCTCCAATGCTGTTCCCTCCCCCAACTCCCCAATAAAATCTTTAAAAAAAAAAGTCCAAGTACTCGTGGCATAAAAATAAGTATTTTCATACTCCAAAGTGGTGGTTATTTTGAAATAAAGTTTAGTACTTAAAAAGATGCTTCATATTGGATTCTAAAAATGGAACAATTTATTTACACATTTCACATAAAATTTTAAATCAGTATAATTTAAGTTCTATATGCTACTGTATTTTCAAAATAATTGTTTAAAGTTTTCATTTTGTGGTCATTGGCAAAAGTAGTGAGTTCTAGTGTTTGAAGACAGCACAGCTTGTATTTCACAGTTAGGTCTCTCACCTGGTGAGTCAAATATTTTAAGAAGGGAAAAACAAGGGGTTATGGATGTCAGTAGGACACAGAAAGGCGTTAGAAAGGGAAGAAAAAATAATTGCGTAATTTTCTCCTGTGATTTTAATACATAAAATCAGAATAGGTAAAATTTACAAGTTAAGATAATTTCTGTGGATGAGTTTAAGGATGGTCTGTCAAATTGTTTTCTAAGAAACTCAACTCATTTTGATGTCCAGTAAAGGAAATAATTCGTTGAAGTTCTGGACTTGCTGTTGCTTGTTTATTGTCTCTATCCTCAATCTGTAATGTTAATTCCACAAGAACAGTGAAATTTACCTACTCTGCACTGTCATGCCCTTATGCTTAAAACAAATTGTGGCCCATTGTAGATGCTCAGCACATATTTCTTGAATGACTGAGGTTTGAGTTTTTATTTAAACATCTTTTTTGGATCAAAAGAAAAGTTTACAAAGAGAAGTAACTCTTAAGTAGACTAGTATGTATATGGAATTGTGGTGGGTTTCAGTGTGCTGTATAAAAGGAGAGAGATTCTAGAATATAAGGAACTTTTGAGCAGAGATGGACTAATGACTGGGTAGAGAAGGACCCTTCTTTGTCCTGAGGTTTGCTCTGGTATTAAGGACCTCCCATTTGGAAGCTGCTAGAGAAATTCAGTCCTGCAAAGTTTAAAATAACTATAAATGGTTTGCTGCTTATGGAATACTAGGTTATTTAAAAGAACATAATGTCAAACTTGATCCAGGTAAAGGTGGTGCTTTCCCCATCTTGGATGATGTTGAGGTACTAAGTTTCAATATGAAAACAATGCTGTGTGTTCTAAAGGCAAACTAATATTGCCATTTTGATTACATTTTGCATTGCTGAAAATCCAAGATGCATTCTGGTAAAATGTGAATTGAAGGTGGGGGGATAGAACAGGGATCCTTGTACTGTAGTTTTTCTAAAAATAAAACTTTTAAGCTTTATGTAAAGCTTAAAACTTTATACAGTATATTTTCACATTGTGATTTGTTGGATTTGAGTGTTCCTATAGAAAGTAGTTAATTGTGTCAAATTTTACATGATTCGAATAATTACTGAATTTTTCAATTAAGTGTTAGGATACTGCTGCTTTGACTTGGTAGAAAGCTTGGTCTAGCCCTGCTGGGTGTGCCTAAATTCCTGTGAATTGGAAAACAATCTCCTGTTAGAGCCTTGAGACTGCTTCTTTAAATCAAATAAAGCAGTGTGATTCCCACTTGGGAATCCAGTGTGTTTCCTCCACTTGGATTAAATGGGATTTATTAAGAAAGGTAGCAGTGTTATTCTGGATAACTTAGCTGTAGCATATCTTTGATAACTTTTTTCCATTCATACCTTTCCAAATTATATCTTAAAATATTCAAGTTTTTCTCTCAAATATTCAAGAACCCTGCACAGTACACTATAAAAAGGGGAAAGAAAGTTAACTTTTTTTTGAAAATTACTGTGTGCTTAATATTTGCAAAACACTTATTAAAGTAATACTCATGGCACTTTTGTGGGTAGCATCATCTCATTTTTAATGACCTGAAAAAATTGTGAGAATGGTTGTTACTGGTCTTTAATATAGGCAACCTTTGGCCCCACCAACTGGCCTCGTGGACCCACCACGAAAGAATCTGCCGGGCTCTCGCATATGCCTTGTATGGTTCCTCCAGCCATCACCAGTGTGAAGAAAGTTACTCAACCTGTGAAGGTTTTCCAGGCAGCTGCAGATTTGAAACAATTGTGTCTGTAGAATGCTCAACATGACCCCCTCCTGACTGGAGTATCTTCAAGTACAAATCCCTTCAGATCCCAGAAAGTTTGTCCTTTTTGTAGTGAAACTAATCTTTGGAGGTATTATAAACCACTTTTCATGAACCAGTGAATAGTCTAAGGAGAGCTAAATCTGAAGCCTGTACAAAAAGCTTATCCCTATAACATGTGCCATACTATATATGAACTTCTGCTTTTTTTCAGTCCTTAACATCTGCCTCTCTGAATTTTCACGAATTTCTATTTCATAAGGGTAATCATTTTATATACATACTGGCAGCAGCATGCAATAAAATACTTAGTATGGGTTTGTTTAAAAAAAAGATAGGCGGCTTCTGAGTGACAGAGGTGGGATTTTGAACAAGACTTGTCGTTTGAGTCCAGAAATTATTTTTGATTGCTCCATATCTATTTCTTACTCTGAATCTCTCAACTTGGCATATGGAGGAAAAGGTATTTACTTTTTATGTGGTGGTAGAGTGATGGCTATTAAAAATACCAGAAGAGCAGAGTGTGCTATGCTGAGATCTGATGTACCTACCCAGCAGTACGGGAAATCTAGAAATGTAGAGAACTTGACAGAGGTAAAAGAAACTGAGAAATCAAGGGACAGAAAGTTGAGACTGTATAAGAGATAGGGATGGCAAGCAGCTAGAGGCTTTGTTGATAGAAAATGATTTAGTTGTGGGGTCTGAGAGAAAGGTCTTTTGTTTGGGGGAGGAGTTACACGCTGTCACCTTTTTCATTTATTTACCTTAAAGTTATTTGGTTTAGAAGGATAGTTCCTTAGTTGTCCACAGAATACTTCTGTCTAGAATAATTTATCCCCTGACTTTTGATTTGTCTACAGATGGAATGTTCCTGGGATACATATAAATGGAAGGATGATGAACATAAAACAACAAAAAATCTAATTTTAAGATATTTTAACTCAAATGACCTCCAAATGTTAAAGGACTGCCGAGCAAGAGAACGGTCAATTATACACACACACACACACACACACACACACACACACACACACAATATATGAATATATGGTGGGAAAATATGTATAACAAAATTGAACCATTTAAGCCATTTTTAAGTGTACAGTTCTAGTGGCATTAAGTACATTCACATTGTTGTGCAACCATCGCCACCGTCCATCTCCAGAGCTTTGTCATCTTCCCAAACTGAAACTCTACCCCTTAAACAATAATTCCCCATTCGTCCCTTCCCCCCAACCCCTGGGAACCACCTTTCTACTTTCTGTCTCTATTGAGTATAGGTACATCATATAAATAGAATTATAGAACATTTATCCCTTTGTGACTGGCTGTTTACACTTAGCATAATCTCCTAAAGGTTTTTTCCATCAGTAGCATGTGTTGGAAATTTCTTTTTAATGCTAAATAATATTCCATTGTATTTATGTGCCACATTTTGTCCTTGGGTTGCTTCCTGGAAAGATTTCAGAGAGATATTACTGGTTTAGTGGACAGCATGATAGAATTAATTCTAGACTTGTTAACTTTCTACCTGTGCTTTGGTCAAATCACTTCTTAGAGTGTTGGTTTTCTAATTTATAGAAAAATACCACTCTAATTTTGGTGTGCCTCGGGGTCCGTCCCCCCCCATAGCCCTACAATTAGGAATATATTATGCTACTTCTCACCACCCCAATGTTGTGACACACACACACACACACACACACACACACAGAAGGAAGTGGTAGGGGGTGGAGGTTGTGCTTATTGTGGGGGATTCCCAGGCGATGCTAATGAATCCATCTCTCCCACTCTTTTATGATAATTAGATCTATATTCAAGACCCCCAAGTTTTTGTTTTCAATTTCAAACTTGTAGAGTCAACTGTCTAGTGGATGTTTTCACCTGTTTCAGTGTTCAAAACTGTATTCGTCACTGACATCCCTATTACCTACCACCCTCCCCTTTGAAAAGAAGTAGAAAGGAAAGGAAACTTGGAGTCCAGGCTTGTATAAGCCAAGGAAGCTCAGAGGTTTAAGAAGGGAGGCTGGGGTAGTGGCAGCCAGTTCTGTCTTAAGCTGAGAAGAGGGCAAACAGGATGAACAGCAAGAAGCAGTCATTGATTTGTCAATTGGTAGAGCATCGATGATCTGTAGACCAGACCCTCTTCCCATCCTTCCCCCTCAAAATGTACATGTTCACAAAGCTTTGCATGTAATTTTAGGGGAGTTAATCTTCAAACCATCTATAGACCTCAATTAAAACCAACTGGCTTAAAGCAAGTTGGGTAGTTTAAACACAGCAGATGAGAGAAGAGAATGTAATAAGTGAAAGGGGAGGCCGAGACATTCATTTTAAGGCTTTTGGAGAAAGAGAAGGGCAGAGATTGGTGATTTTTCAGTAAGAAAGATTGAAACATTTGTAGGCTAAGAATAAGGCATCCAGGAAAAGTTTAAGTGGATGATGCTTGAGGCATCCCCCATGTGAAATTATGAGCCCAGGTTGGGGGACAAAAGGAAGAGGTTTGGAGCAAATTTGAAGTAGAGAAGAATGAAGTTAAATTGGTTAGCTGATGTTTGGAGTGGAAAGAAAAAACTCAATAATTGCCAGCAGACCCAAAAAACTAAAGAAAATGATAGGCGACTTTCTTTACGTTTTTAAAATTGTTTAGTTCACCTAAAACTTTTTGTAATGTAGGGTATATAAAAATGGAAAACGAAAAGCAAAAGAGAGGCTGATCAATCATGTAATCTTTTGGTTTTCCACTTTACCTATGAAAGATTTTTCTGTTTTTAACCTCATCAATACTTGATATTATCAGTCTTAAACTTTTTTTGTTATACCAATTGACAAGTGAAGCAAAATATCATTAGAACCCCATCTCTGGGTTAAATGATTATATTTAAATTGGAGGTGTAAACATTGGACTATTCTGTAGTAAAGGGGAAGTGTGGTTGTCTTACTTAATAACAAAAAACGTATAACCAATAAGCTAAAGTTCTCAATCTGTTGGTACATTAGAGCCAATCAGTGGGGGGGGGAGGTTTTTTGAGAAGTACTGATGCCTAGGCTTCACTCAAATATAGAGTCATCCATTCAACCTTGAGAGAGGTTTGGACATCAGTGTTTTTTTTTGTGTGTTTTTTTTTGGTTTTTGTTTTGTTTTGTTTTGTTTCGTTTTAAGCTGAGCCATCCTGCTGCCTGTTGGCAGCTCAGCGGCTGCTCAGCTCAGGCTGGAATCAAAGGACATCGGTGTTTTTTAAAGCACCTCAGATGATTTTACTGCGCAGCTAAGAAAGAGACCCATTGGTCTAATGAATATAAAATTGAGAGTTTGGTGGCATCCCCCTATACTCCGTTGTCAGGTAGCAAAGAATTCCATTGTTAAACAGTNCAGTATACATTTTAAAATGTATCCATAAGCTAAAATTTTAAATAAATATTATAATTAACAATATGTAGTTAATTTTAGAATTTTGGGAGACATTTTTAATATTGTTGGCCTTATAAAAAGAGAAAACCAGCCAGGAAAATTCCAATTTATGCATGCAATGCTTGGTTTATTCTGTCAAAAGTAGAAATCATCAAAATGTGTTGAATTTAGAGCTCAGATAGTTTCTGACATTTCCCAAAGTTCATATTGTTTCCACTTCAGGCTTATTTTTGCCTGAGTAAATCAGATATCAAAATGATGGCAATCTCCAACATATACCTGTATCACACTATTTTACTTTATTTTTTTGCTCTATAGGTCAGTAATAATCTGTAAGAGACTCACGGGGAACAACTTGATTTAAGATGGGTTTTGGCTGAAGATATTTTTTATATCTTTCTTTGAAGCCTAGCTCTTGAGTATTAATTATTACTGAGTGTTCCTACTTGCTTAGACATACATTGCAATTGAAAACGTGAGAAGGTTACCTTTAGACTAATTCTTTACTTACTGTACATATACTTTTTAAAATACATTGTACATAACTATTGAGTATATCAGCCTAATAGCATCATTCCAATTACTGGAGAAATAAAAGTACAGTACATAATGTGTACATACTTTCTTAGAATTGCTGAATGCCAAAAGGCCCCTGGTGAATGAATGAATGAATGAATTGTTTTGAATTAGCTTTTTAACACCAAATGAAAAGGTAGGAAAATAATTGTAATGAACTTATAGAAATATGATAGTTGGTTTATTAGATAATTTAGTGGTTGTACATTGTCACAAAATCATATCAAAACTACCCCTCAGCTACCATATTGTCTCTTTAAAGGAGTTACATTTTACTTAGCATTTTTTGTCCTAGACATGTGTTTGGTTTGGTTTTTAAATATTTGTAGAAATTATTGTTGCTTAAGGCTTAGTAGCGAAAACTACCTCTTGTTTTTCCCTCAGTGGCTTCTAAAATGTGGCCTAAAGAGAAGGCAAGGTCTAAAAGTTTGTTTTGTGTACACAAATGTTTAGATGCATTTGATTCTTATGTCTATATAATATTTTAAGTTTTTACACTGTAAGCATGCTTTTAACTACAGAAATTGTTGCCTATCCTAGTTGCATTGTACTTTGTTACTGTTTTCCTTAGGGAAGCAGTTGAAACAATCCATACTATTGCATCCTGGTACCTCTAAGATGAGAAATGGGTGGATTCACATGTGTAAGCAAAAGCATTAACCCACATGTTCTAGTTAGGAGCAACAGATAAATTACCAGTGGTTAGTTAACTATAACAGAAAATGAATTCAAACATCTTATTTAATATCTTTTTTTTTTTAAGATTCTTTATCCCCTTAAATTTTAAAAAATACATTTTCAGATAATAAGGTATTCTCATAATGGGATCTCTGAACTAGAAGTATGGCTTCTAATTTCTGTTCACCAGCTATATTGGTATGAACAAACAGCTGTGCCCTAGTGATCGAATCTGTATGGGTACTTATGCTTCTCTCTTGGACAGAGTTACTGTGAACAATATGCAATATGTTGTGTATTTTTTTTCCAAGATGGTTTTACATAATAATTTTCTTTTATTGAATTTCCTGTTTCAATCAAGAAATTACTTCAGATAGTCCTTCCCCCGCTGTCCCTAAAAGCAGGAAGTTAACTTTCTTCATTAACTGTATTGCAGGGTTGGCTAGTGGATCTTCTCAACAAATTCGGCACTTTAAATGGGTTCCAGATTTTGCATGATCGTTTTATTAATGGAACAGCGTTAAATGTTCAAATAATTGCAGCCCTTATTAAGTAAGTTACTGTTTTCAAATGAATCTTCAGTGCATTATAGAAATTGCTAGATAAAAATTGAGTTTCTTTTTTCAAGTACGGTTTCTTTAACTGCTAACTTGGATTTTTAAGTAATATTAATAGTCTGAATTCAGTCTTAGTTGATTGTAAGGAATCAAGTATTATAAGAGCTTTTTGTCTTTTTTATTTTTCAGACCATTTGGACAGTGCTATGAGTTTCTCACTCTTCATACCGTGAAGAAGTACTTTCTTCCGGTTATAGAAATGGTTCCACAGTTTTTGGAAAACTTAACTGATGAAGAACTGAAAAAAGAAGCAAAGAATGAAGCCAAAAATGATGCCCTTTCCATGATTATTAAATCTTTGAAGAATTTAGCTTCACGGGTTCCAGGACAAGAAGAAACTGTAAAAAATTTAGAAATATTTAGGTTAAAAATGATACTTAGGTAAGATATTTACCTCTTGAAATATTTATGTGAACATTTAGAATTACACTTAACACTGAATTTCTGTTACAGATTATTGCAAATTTCTTCTTTCAATGGAAAGATGAATGCACTGAATGAAGTTAATAAGGTGATATCTAGTGTATCATACTATACTCATCGGCATGGTAACCCTGAGGAGGAAGAGTGGCTCACAGCTGAAAGAATGGCAGTAAGTCCTTCGATTTTTCTTTTTTGAATAAGAATCTACTTAAGGCAAAAAACAGAATAGCTCCAATCATTAACTTTTAAAGGAAACTTTGAAATTGGGAGGTATTTGGATTGATTTATGACTCTGTTATTCCGGAGAACATTTTGTAATATCATAGTTTATTGTTTGGTAATAATATGGGTATCTTAGCACATCTTTGGTAACTTACTGATGAATGTAGGTGTTCTTAAGTAATTATTAGCTTGTTGGGAGGGGTTGATTGAAACAGTAGATAAAGATGATCTTGGGAATAGATTGGGTAGTATTTAGTACCTAATGAACAATGTGGCCTGTTGTTCATTTGACCAATTCCACTTAAAGTTTTTAAAATAGTAAATATAATTACTGGAATGAGACCTACATGAATTTATGTTTTATCATTTTACTGGAATGAGACCTACATGAATTTATGTTTTATCATCATTTTAAGAACTTAAGCATTTATATTGCTATCATTTTGACATTTAAAGTTGTGGAAACTTAATGTACCATGGATTTGTGTATATATTCCAGTTTTGGTTTTTTACTATTGCTAATTAATACTGCTTGTAATTCTTTTTNTTAAAAACCTGAACAACAACAAAAAACAACCCTGTGATTCACACGTGAATCTCAAGCACGCTGCTTCTAGTTGGTACATGCTTATTGTAGAATTCTTTATAGATTAAAGTTTTTAGGCAAAATTATTGTATTGGGTTGTCGGAAAAGTCATGACTCATTTTTGCAACGAAAAACATAGAAAAAATACGTCATGACTTTTCCGGCAACCCAGTAATTATAGGGTATTTAATTATATTTGTCATTTGGGGGTAAGTTCTTAGTGTTCAGCTATAAAAGATTAGATTATTCTCTATTACAAGTATGATAGAATAAGAGCTACAAGTGTGCTCTTCCTCCCTCCCTCCTTCCTCTCTCCTTCCTTTCTCTCCCTCTGCTAATTTAAAGAAGTGAGCAAGTCAGGTTTTTAATTTTTTTCCCCAAATAAATGTGTCAACTTCATTTATTTTTTGTCTCCAGTTCCCACTTTTAAGACATAAAAGTACTTAAGTGTATGGTCACAGGTCTTAGACAGAGTTAAGTTTTTCCTGTGTCATAAATTTGTTAGCCAGTATTCAGGCTTCTTTAAACATAGTCAAAGGTTGGATGCCAGAAGTTTCTATTTATAAACCAGGAGCTAGTATTAAAGTTCCAGTATCTTTGCTCTCTTTTTTCTGGTTTATACCTGCATTGTGCATGGACTCCTGAATTCCTTTTGTAATGTTTGTGGCTTGCGTGGCATTAGACAAAATTAAACCTTTACTCTAACCTTACTTTATTTAAGATGTACTTGATAATTCTTAGAGCTCTTGGGTTTGTGATAGTCAACTTAACATTATGCCATCTACATTACATTCTCTCCTAATACCTCTTTACATTTTGGAAGAGGAATGGCTGGTAATTTAAACAACAAAGGAACAAAACAAATCATAGTATTAACTGTCTTGTAGAGTCCCTCCTCACTCTTTCACTTATTCTCTACTTCTTAATGTTAGAATTTTAGTTATTTCACAAGATTTGACACTGTTGGACCAAGAACAACCAACCATTAGTTACTACCCAACTTCTGGCTTTCTTTTGGAATATGCTGTTTACATATTGACATAAAAGGATTTCTAAAATAATCAGATTATTTCACTTAACATATATGTTTTAAAAGAGTGTTTCCACAGGAGAGAATTTTAGGCCCTAGTATGTAGTAAAACTCTGAAATAAATGAAACAGCCTTCACAAAGGCACTGGGTGAACACTTCTTGAGTACTATTGCTGGGATGGTTCAAACTTTCTGGAATGGAATTTGGCAATATATGTGTCAGTAGTCCTAAAATAAATAGTTTATACTGTTGTTATGTAATTATATTTCCAGGACCATGTCCTAAGGAAAAATCGTTGAAGTTCAACAGAAAGATTTATATGTAAAAAGATTTATTGTAGCTCTGTGTATGTTGGCAATATAAATTGCAAAATACCAAATGTCCCTTTATTTGTTTAATTCATTTAATACTATATTGCTATTAATCAACTTTTTATAAAAGATTATTAATGATCTGGGAAAATATTCAAATGGTGAATGGAAAAGCGCATAGACTTAAGCAGGTGAAATCCTAATTTTATTGAAAATTTATACATATGTAGATGGGGTTTTTTTGGGCTCATAGAACAAAGATTGCAAGGATATAATTTAAAATGTTATTGATGTTTATCTGTTGCGGTATTACAACTGTCTTAACTGTTATTTTTGTCTTTACGATTTCTGTGAGCATATATATAATATATACTGGGGCAATGGGGCTTTTTAAAACATAACGCAGACTTTCTGAGTTACATTTATTTTAAATGCAAATATTTCTGTTGGGCTTCTAACACTTGAATTCTGTGCAGTAGATTCTTTTGCCTTGATACTGACCCTAGAGTATATGCAGCATTCACCATCTTAAATATAACAGTTCACTCTTTAGTTGCAAATTCGCTCTATGAGTTCGTATATAAACTTTGTAAGCTAGAACATAGTAGTAGTGGTATACCCAGCTGTTTTCAATACAAGCATTTACTTATGTAACTGTTCAATAGGTGCTAAAATGATGGAGAAGGGGCCCTGTTCTCTAAAAGAGCCATCGACCTGCAGTGGGTAGAAAATTCAAGAACAGATGATTAAAAATCAGCTTAAAATTTAGCTTGGTTTTAATTTGAAAGTGAAAATACCATCTTCTTTCGAAATTAAGAATTAAGTGTCATAAAAGTTTATTTAGTTGTAAAAATATGCACAGCTAAAGTAAGGAGGGAAGAGAAAGACTTGCTAAAAGGGAAGAATGAAAGAATAAAATTAGTCATATAGTAAAAAATGATGGGAGTTATTTAGAAACCACAATCGTGAAGTCTTTTGTTTTTATATGTATATATAATATATATATACATATACATATATATATTATACACACACACACACAACACACACACACACACACACATATATACACACACTTTTTTAAAATTGGGGAACAGTATGTTTTTCCCCAGGACCCATCAGCTCCAAGTCAAGTAGTTGTTTCAATCTAGTTGTGGAGGGCACAACTCAGTGGCCCATGTGGGGATTGAACCGGCAACCTTGGTGTTACGAGCACTACACTGTAACCAACTGAGCTAACCGTCCGCCCCTTGTGAAGTTTTAATAGTTTGGATAATGCTTGGAGACTAAGGAAATTACAGAATAAAATTTATTTTTATCTCCAAATTAAAAAATAAAAGTTACAAGTCAAACTTTTTAATCTGTAAAATATGATGTTTTTTGTTTGTATAATTTTCATCATGTCAAGGCTCATATGATAGGAAATGTAAGCAGAGATGCAGTTTATGTTGTGCTTAAGAACACAGACTTTAAAATTAGACCTAGATTCAAATCCTGACCACAGAGTTGGAGCTGTGTAACCTTGGACTAATTATTTCTTGTCTGAGTTTTTTCATGTATTAAATGGCAAGATACTTAAATGAAATTATTTTAAGACAGTGTCACAGAGACTGCCTGAAACATCATAATGAGCTTACAATCATCATACCTTTAAAAATTTACATTATTTTCCCATGAATTGTGTTGGTGTTTGAATCGTTAGATGTTGTACATGTTATGGAAACCTAAATCTGGAATGTATGGTTTTTAATTAAGACTTCATCGCCTGATTCTTCCAATGAAAATTCCCCGGCAACTCCCCCAGATGAACAAGGTCAAGGTGATGCTCCACCACAGGTTGAAGATGAGGAACCTGCATTTCCACATACTGACCTGGCAAAGTTGGATGACATGATCAATAGGTGAGTTGATTTTCTTTTGTTTCGTTTTGTTTTTTTAAAGCTTTTATTGGGAAATTGGGGGAGGGGAACAGCACTGGGGAATGTGGGGAAGGGGAGCAGACAAGTTGCTGTCCTTTTTTGTTCTTCAGTCTAGTTGTGGAGGACGTCGCTTCACTGGCCCATGTTGGTATTATCATTGCACTCTTCCTGAGTAAGGCGGATCGGTCGCTGGCCTCTGGACGGCCGCTCACAGCTGCTGGCCACTCTCGCTGGCTGCTGGCTACACACGGTAGCCCATGGCAACCCACTGCCACAGGGGCTGCAGCCTACGCCGTCAACGGCAACTCACGGCAGCCCAGCTCCAGGTTGAGCTGTTGTTCAGCATCTTAGCTGTGGAGGGCAGTGTCACTGGCCCTCATATGTGGGATCCGAACCGGGGCCCTCTGGCATCCCAAGCCAGCTCTTAACCAACGCGCCTCTCGGCCAGCCCTCTTTTGTTTTTTAATGTGTGTAATATATAGGAAAAGCCACCAAGTTTCTCAGCATATAGTGATTAGCAGTGAGAAAGAGAAAGAGTGGGCAGGAATATTACAGTAACCACACTGCCTCATTAATAGCCTTAACATCTTAGTCATTGTCAAGAAACCCATGGTTCTCACTGGATTTTAAAAATGAAAGGGAGTTATAATATCAGTAAAGTTTTCAGATTAATGATGACAACCATAGGTGGTGTGTTTCTTAATTAGAACGTATGTGTGGTTTCCTGTTTTGAGAGTTTATGAGGATTTTTTTTTCTTACTGGTAAGTTGGTTGCTAGGGTTGCTGGATGACTTCAATAATTTTTGCTTGGCCCTGAGGTAAACCAGGCCATAAGGAGATTGAGTTCCTCAGAGCTTGCCCCTTGTGAATCCTTAACTAGTCTGAGGCATTTAACTATTTCAGCTGTTTCTCTTGATCTTCATCTCCGGGGTCAGTTCAAAGGATAAGTTTTCATACTTGTACAAACATATCCCCCCCAACACGCCTTCTCCTTCTCCCCCCGCCCCCAATTATTTGGAGGAAGACTCAGAGAATGAAAGTTTAAGCTTGTGTGCTAGGGAAGAAAAAGATTTAAAGACGATCAGGAGACGAGCATATTGGGGGACTCCCCTCCCCCATGGCTGTGATCTTCACCAGGCTGTGGGCTCAACAGGTGAGTGCTAGGGAGGTGTGACACACACCCCAAAACCCAAAAAGGAAAGTAAGGAAAATACACTTATAGGTTACTTGCCTTACTAAGTTTTTTTTTGTTGTTTTTTACTTTATAAAAATCAGTTAACACTACTACATATATAATGGCAGGGGAAATAGAAACCCTGTGCCTTTTAAAAAAATTCTGATTACATAAGTAATATAATTTATTCATTGTTAAACAGAAATATTATGTTGATAAAGTGCTCTATAATTTTCTCCTTATGTACACACATCCCAACCAAAAATTACTAACAGAAGTGTAGTCTTCATGATTAACTTTGTGTTTACTGTAGTATGTATTGATTGTTCTGCAGATATGGGATTCTTAGTATAATATCATTTTGTAATTTGCTTTCCTCACTTGATCTTGAATATTTTTCCTAATAACATATATTTAACTCATTGTTTTTAATGGTATAGTTGAAAGAACACATTAAATGTGATTTTGGCAGATGCCTATAGTAATAGTGTACAATGAATTATACTAAAAAAAAAAAAATGTGTGAAGTTGTTTGTAATGCCCTGACCATTCTCTATAGCAAAGACATAGCAAAAGGTTGTACTGTTGCTTTTCTGTATTTGTCTGGTGATTCTAAGTAAAGTGTACCTATGCAGACCTGAGGTCAAAGTTGCAAATCCTCTGGAAGAGAAATACAAATGGTGTTTTTTATGTAAATAAAAACGAGAAAGGTGGTATACATTTGTTTCTAATAGATTATGTGCTCATGGAGCAGTTTATGTCAGATCAGGATTTTGGGGAGGCTTGCGTGAGTTTGGTGGTGAGGAGGAAGGGGCTAGTAAAGAATGGACTCCTAGGTGGTTTGGGCTGCCCCTGGCATCAGAAAAAGCACCACCTCAGTGTTTCCTACATCCTTGTTTGAGGGATGGGTACCTGTGGAGGCATAGAGATTTGGAGACACAGCTCTCGCTTAACCTTTGGGAAAACTTGACGAATTATAATGAATGGAGGCAGAAATCAGTCATTTCCCACCTAAATTTTTTCTTCTTTGTGAGGAAATTGATGATAGCTAAGTGGTTCACCTACCCTGAATCCTGAAAGAGCACTTTCCTATGAACTCTTAACAATTGGTTATCCATTTAATTGATATTTGGTGATTATAGTAGTTTGATATCCTGTTATTCTCTCTCTCATAGCAATGTCTTTTGTTTGACAGTTCCTTAAAAACGTCTGTAAAGACAACAGATGGTGCTTAGTCTCACAAAGCAAATATTTTGCCAACCTTGTTTTAATATTTTAATGTTATTTTAATATTTAATATTTTCATGGTGAGGTACGTAATTATAATTAGTAACTCATTTATAGGGCCTCTTAAGTTTGCTACCAGTAAACATCTTTTTATATTTTTGAAACCCTTAGGCCTCGATGGGTGGTTCCAGTTTTGCCGAAAGGGGAATTAGAAGTGCTTTTAGAAGCTGCTATTGACCTTAGTAAAAAAGGTAAGTTTAGATGTTGTGCTTCCTGTAGTGCGTGCTACTAGATATACTGTCACTTCATCTCTGAAGACTTTATTTTCCTCGCTTCTAAACCTTAATGTATGTTTCTGGACTAGAACATTTAACTAAAATTTTTGCTGTGACTTAAGATAGATACCTAGAGCAAGGGTTCATATCCTTTGGGTAGCCCTCAAAGGTGTTTGTAAACTCTGAAGTTAACACATAAATTTTGTGTACATATGCATATTTATAGCAAACTCTAGTGTACACATTGATTTTTTTTTTTAATACACAAAAAACATTTGATTTTTCTCTAAAAGGAAAAAAACTTCAAAGATGGGGCCCTGTTTTTTATTTTTTATTTTTTTAATAAGCCAATAAAAAAGAATCTGGTGTTTTTTACTCCGTTGTTTAGAAGTAAAAGCTTAATGTTAGAATCATTTTTCAATGGTTTGGTCTACTTTAGGTGCAATTGAATTCTTATCAAAGTACTACTACTGTAGTCTCTATTCATTTTTCAGGAATTAGAGATTAAAATAAATGGTGGTAACATTTCAGTTTCTGAAATAGGGTAGCCATTAGTGTGTTGTAATTATTAATAGGCATTATCATAATTGAAAATTGTAAAAATTAGTATTTTTAGTACCTTGCTTAAATCTAATAAAATATGAAAATGCATTATCAGATTACAGTTATTTTTCACTGCTTAAATTCTTTTGTTCATTTATGTATTTATTCATCGATTCATCAAAAAGGCTTCTGTCGTAGGCATGTTCTAGGTCCTGACTGTACAGAGATAGATAAAATATCGACATTCACTGGACATGTATCTCCCCCATCCCTATATTTCTTTTGTGGGACCCTGGTTTATTTTAGGGGACGTTCATATTTCTTTAAGTACAGTACTGGGTTTTAAATGTCATCTTTGTGTAATCAAAATCAAATAATAGTTCATGTACAAATTAGCTTTTCATTTGTGTCAAGAGTTAAAGATTTTCTTTGGGGACACATGACTGTTGACTTTCTGAAGATGAAATTAAGCGAAGCTGTAAATAAGCATAGATGCTTAGACTGTGAAAGAGACTAATAAGAAAGACAAGACAATTTCTCTTATTCGATGAAACACTTACATAGAATAGTACAGGGTACTGATGTCAAATGGATTTTATAACCAAAATAAGATTTTGAAAATAATTGTGAGATGTCATTGTTTAAGGTTTACTTTCAGAGGCTAAAATGCTATGAAGTATTTAGATTCCCTGTCACATAGCACTGGTAACCATTTTGTGTTTACGGTCCAGTGTTGTATTGTAATTTGAAATATTTTCACTGTATCTTTGAATTACTGAGTTGACTGTAGTTTATACAGTTGTGTTTTTGAAATTCATTGAAGATTATTTTTGTTTCTGAATCAGTTACCTTTTTGACACCGGAACTATGATAATACTTGTAATATATTTAAGTTACCGTATTTGCCGGCGTATAAGACGACTGGGCGTATAAGACGACCCCCTAACATTTCCACTCAAAATACAGAGTTTGTTATATACTNGCAGCCCAGCTCCAGGTTGAGCTGTCGTTCAGCATCTTAGCTGTAGAGGGCAGTGTCACTGGCCCTCATATGTGGGATCCGAACCGGGGCCCTCTGGCATCCCAAGTGAGTTCTTAACCATCACGCCACTCGGCCGGCCCCTGAAGTGTTTTTAAAAATCAAATTTTATTGCCTTGGTTTATGTTTTGAGTGCACACATTTTTGCAATGTATTTAAGCATTAGCAAATTGAAGACAGTTTTTGCCATTCCATAACTGAATCAAAATAACTAAGTACCTTGGTGTAATGTCTTTGGAATCCCAGGAGAAAACTGAAATATTGTATCATAAGACTATACTTTCTATTTTCTTGAAATAACAGCTGACATACTGTTAGCAGTTTATTAAGTTGAATATAATGTTAATGAAACTAGCTTTTCATCTTTGCCATCTCATTTATATAGCCTCCTACTAACTAGATTCACTGGTAATATTAAGTCTGAACAGTTTCTTAATTCATGTTTTTTATATCTAAAACAAATGTACTTTTTCCGCCTTCTACTTGTAGGTTATGCAATGGTCTCTGCAAGATGGTTTATTCTTGAATTGGAGCTTTTTAAGACTGACAAATGCTGGTACTTCATCATCTATAAGTGGACTATAATTTCTTTTCTCAAGACAACTACATAAGCAGACAAAATTGCAAGGATCTGCCCTGTGTCGAGTATGACAGCCACGACTCGTGGCTCTCCAGTAGGAGGGAATGACAACCAGGGCCAGGCTCCTGATGGACAGTCTCAGCCCCCCCCTCAACAGAATCAGGTAGGATGTTTAAAATACTGGTTAACGCTACATTGGTATGTCTACTATGGGATACTTAAATAATGGAGCATGTGAATAATTTGTGAAAACCATAAACTTACTTTAGAAAAGTAAATTTGTTACTGTCTTCAACAGTAACAAGAAAGCTCAAGTGTTATAGATGGTGATGCTTGAGGCCTTCTTTTTCTGGTGGTGTCTTGCACTGTGAGTCATCATTAAAATTAGGTATTTAAGCCCTGTGTCAATTCTGGGTCCTATGGTTAAAGGCATGGACTAAAGTCATTGCCTGTGTTCAAATTTTAGCTTTGCACCATATTGGCTTTATGACTGGGTAAATAATGTAACCTCTAAGCCTCAGTTTTTCGTCTGTAAAACAGAGATAAGAAGAGTAACTATTTCATAGGGTTGTTAAGAGTATCAAGTGAAATAATATTTGCACAGAACTTAAAATAGATTTTGGTATCAAGATTTTATGCTGGTCTCAACTCACAGGGTGATATGCTTTTTATATTCTCTGGATGAATTTGCGTAAGATTCCTGTTATTCATTAATCATATGGAAGATTTTACTGGTGAAAACATGTGGCCTTGGGTTTTATTTGTGGAAAAGTTTTTATTGAAAATTCAACTTTTTTTTTAACGGGAATATTCTAATTGTGTGTCTGTCTTTTGGTAAATTGGTTTTCAAGGAATTTGTCTTTTCAAGGAATTTCATCTAGTTGTTTATAATATCCTTTTTATTATCTTTTAATGTCTTAGAGTCTGTGGTAATATCTCCTTTTTCATTTCTGACTGCTAATTTGTGTTCCCTTCTGATCACTCTTTCCTAGGGATTTATCAATTTCATTAAACCTTCCCCCAAACTAACTTCTGCCTTTAATTTGCCCCACCCCACCCCTACACACACACACACACACACACACACACACACACACACACACACACACACACACAC